CGCTGCCTCATGTAAAACTATTGAAATGAATAACTATTGAAATTATTAACTATTAAAATGTAAAATTTGTATGCTGAACTGGAATTTGAATACAAGAGATTGAAATCTCTTGGTTAACCATCACTGATTCAGACAAGTTTCCCTGGATTTTATTTCAAAAGCATGTGTCTTTGTTGAAATCAGAGGCTTTATAGCCATAAACCAGCTCTAAACTTATTAAACTTATGAAACTTCAGCTCTGAAGCACCAAACCTAAAACCAGTCAGAGTTAGTTTTTGTAAATAAAGGCCACATCATCTGAAACAAGGACTTTTTCCCCATAGTTAATATTGTAGGAATAGCATGTGCTTTTCAATAGTAGCAAATATTTTATACTTCATGTTAAAGCTTTTGAAAATCTTTTTAAGCTCTTATAACATCAGAATCTCTTGTGATGATGCCCTTCATGGATGACAGGTTGGCCAGTCAGCTAAATTTGTTTCTGTGGTTGTTGTTGCCAAGTAGGTATGGAAAAATGGTTTCTACTCTAAGAATCTGGTAAATTCTGGGAATCAAAAAGAACTTAGTAAAATTTATAAAAGGCATCAAGGAATACTTAAATTAAGTATTCTGAAGTGGCTTCTTCACAGGCATCATCACTGGAACAACTGCCAAGCTGCTATGCATTGAGATTTCCTGCCCTTGACCTGATTCTTACATGTCAGCAGAAAACAGATGACATCAGGCACAGTTGCTTTACAACACTACTGCAGACAAACTTCTGATGGCTCCTTCAGGTCACTTTCTTGGCTCTAACTCCTTTCTATTCTTAATAAAACTATAAAAGCATGCAGGATAAATTCTAGAAAAAAATCACAGCTAAAAAGAAAGGCCGACATTACAAAAAAAAAAAAAAAAAAAAAGCCAATCATAACAAAAGATGTAACATCTAAACTGGCCTGAAGGAGATTAATAACCCTTACAATGACATCATAATTGCATGGCGCAACCTCATTTAGGCAGTAAAGGTCACCTGATTTGTATATCACCATGAAATAGTCCTCTTCTTTTCAAAACTTTGTCTTGAAGATAAAACTAGTATGTCTTTCTGATCTTTAAAGTAGATTAATAGCTGGTTTGAGAAGAATATAGTACCGAATTAGAAATTACAAAATAGAGAAGGCTTGTGGAAAAAAATAAAGTTTCCTCTCTCTATTTCAGTCAAATCCAATTAAACATTTTTCACGAAATTTCACATTAAGTGATTGGTTTCACAAGAATTATTTCCTATTCTCCTTCAACTCAGTAAAGAAGGCATGTACACTGGCAAAATTTTTATTTTTCTTTAGAAAAAATGTATTAGTGAAAACTCTGAATTTGAAAATTACACACTACAAAGCTTACAACAGTAAAATGAATGAATATTTGAAAATAATGAAGAAGCAGCAATTCTTCCACTTGTCTATGTTTAATTGAATCAGTTGTTTCTGTGTATTATGGGAATACATTTATCAGAATCAGTAGAGACCAAATGTTAATTATGAAGGCCAAGAAAAATGAATAATCTCACATATAGACCTTGACACATTAGAACTGCAAAGCACTCTCAGATCTTATTTTATGAAAATGTACTAAGAGCGCAAATGTATAGACCCTTAGGAAGCAATTATCCCTAAAAGATTTAGCTATAATTCAATGTGAAATATAATAAGAGATTTTAAAAAATGGTTTCACAAAGAAGAGGATTATTTTACTTTAACTATGGAAATAGAGGCCCACACGCTTCTCTGCATGACCTCTGTGCAGCTGTGGGCATTGCTTGGAGGGAAGATTTGAAACTGGCCTTTTCAGTCAATTAATACAATCCCCTATGACCAATACGAATGTTACTAAAAATTAGGGGTGCCAGTTTGGCATTGTGGGGCTGAATGGCCCACAATACTGTAATTAATTTTCTATCCAATAAATACATTAAATATGGAAATTTTAAATTACATACTACTAACATGCACACAGAGGTTAGTTAAGAAGAGCTGTCTTACCAAGATGTGCAGATGTTATAAGGTGAAATAGCATGTTACAATGTGCACTGCATGCCTTCTGTGTCATATGTTTTATTTGTCACAGTATCCTCAGGAGTGACATGGAATCTAAATGTGTAAAAACCAAAAATCTGCAAAAGAGTGGTTATATCATCCTTGTGATTTCCAGATCCTGAACCTAGCCAAATTCCTGCCACCACACATCTTCCACAGTTATAAAGTGTCTCCCTGCCTCTTTGCCTCACTCCTGACTATGGATGGCTACTGTCTCAGAGAAGGGTGGCACAGCCCTGTGAGCTGATATACTGAAAAAATAAATCTGAAAGCTTGCAGATTATTTTACCTAATAGATCCTAACATCAGTGGACTGAAATAGGTTGCTTGTGGATTGGTCTTATGTTTTTTTCCTTCCAAGCAACTCACTACTGTGAGATGACTTTAAAAAGTAAAAAAGAAACAAGAGCTATTGGGTTTTGTTCTTAAGTGTATTTCAGGGTCCCATAGAGGTAATGATCTCATCTTTTATCACAGACTTTCACACCATCCCTAATCTATCTGATCCTGATTACTTTATTTTTATCCAGTTAAGATTGCAAATATCCCTGCACCACCACTGATGTTTACACTTCTGTTACTCCCTTAAGAAAATCTAAAGCAGATCAAACTCCTCATCCAGAGGATGCATCTTTTGCCAAAGTGAATCAACAGATTGCCTCAATGTTAATTAAGTGTAAGAGAATAGGGAAAATTACAGGTTTTTTAAAAAAACTTCCTTGATACAAACTGTTCTGGAGAGACTCAGAAGAAACACCTGGATTCCTTCTGCTGGACAGGTTAATAATACATAGCATAGTTCCCCAGTTTGCATGTGGAGGTGATTAAAATAAAAGTAATTCCTTGGATTACGGTGACAATAAAAGCCGAGTTGATATTTACCCTGTACCAGAGAGACAAAGGATGTGTCCTATTTCTCTGAAAATGCACAAATGTCCAGAAGGTGCTCTGCAGTGGAGAGGGGACAGGATGCAGGGATGCTTGGGTCTGTACCTGCACTCTGTGTGCAGCCTTGCAAGAGCTGCTGAGTTCATACAAGAGGCAGGAGGTGACAGCCAAGAACAGGAGGGTTTCACAGGGGAGGTGTGTGACCTGTCACAGGGCTCTGGCTGGCTATTTCTTTCTGTGGGAGCTGTGCTGCTGACAGCAGCAGGAGCACCCCAGCCATCTACAGCCAGCCCCAGAGCCCTGACCAAACCCACTCCTAAGCGAGTCACTGACATGACTTCTATCCTGGAAAAAAACTAGACATCAGTTTTCCAGGCTGTGGTTACACTAAAAGTGGATGACAAGCTTTTCATTTACATGAGGTCAGGATGCATGCTCATGTGCTGTATATCAAAGCTAACTACCACTGGCAATATTTCACTGGGGCTTTTTAAAGTTTTTGAGGTCAAGAATACAACCTGGCCTTTAAAAAATATTCCAAAGGACCCGTCCTCACTGTAGGCAACAGTAATTTGAACTGAGACAAACTCTATGGAGCTACAGTATTAAAAAAAGTTCAACTTCAAAAAAATTGAAAAGCGGTCTTTTTTCCTCCCCAGACTCTCATCTCTAAGAGACTATGATCAATTAACCTTTAACTTTGAAAAATAAAAAAATTCCTGTGACAGTCAGAAATGAAATTCTTTAAAGATTAGGTGCTGGGAGAGCAATATCAGGCTTAGAACAAAATCCTAGTAACGCTCTGAACTATCAAATCACTTCTTGCTCTGAAAATATAATTATTCTGTAAGTGTTATGTCAGACAATATTAAATGCAAAAAGCGTAGCTTAAATAAAACTTTTTTCTAGCAGAAAGGCTCTCTGCACAGTACTTTCAATGACACAGAAAAAACAAGACAGCATGCAATTAATGAAAAACAATATTATGTTCAATAAGTAGCATGCGTGGCAAGCACTAACTTTTAGTGACACCAGATTTAAAGCAATGCTGTTATTGCAGTCAGAAACAGCCCTGAACATTTAAAATCTTACTGAGAAATGTCAAACTACACAAGGATTTACTTTTATTCTTATACTTTGCTTTGGTCAAGTTGTTGTATGTATAATGATGTTTCCCAAATAAATTACAAAAAAAAATAGAAAAATGGAGGCAGAGGAAAATCTATCTGTAAGTGAGATACCTTTGGATCTTACTGTCTAAATCAAACAGTTTTAAAATGACAACACAGTATAAAGAGAATAAGTTCTGTATTTGTATTGTATCTCCACTACCGATAAAAGAGAGTTTTAAGAATAAAGTGGCTGAAGAGGTGTGCATAATGCTTGCACATCTTACCTGGCACAGTCTCTTATCCTGGCTAGCGGTGAGATTGCAGGCTATGTAGCTATCAATTCCACTGACATTACAATTTCCCTTTCTCAAAGCAGCAATAACCTGTCACTTTACACCGTCCTTTCTCTGACCCTCTCCCTCCTCTCTGCTCATTTTTATTCTTATTGACAAGACTTATTATTCCTCCTCCCAATTCCAAGTAGCTACCCTTTTGCAAATAGTAGTATCAACTATGTGGTCACTAGTAGTATCGGTCAACAATGTTATTAATATAGCACACACTGCTGGGAGCAGATCAAACAGCCATGTTTTAAAATATTAGTTTTGCAAAGGTACCACCAGGCAAATAATTGCAGTTTTCTTCACCTTATGCAATGTAATATTGCAAGACAGATCTCAAGAATTTAGTGCTAATTACCAGCCCAATAATTTGGAGGATATGTTATTTTTTTTTCTTGCTTTCAAACACAAAATAAAATAAAACCATAACAGAAGGGTGCTGTATCTGTGTTTAAAGAAGCAGTTGTTGGCAAACACCATAGCTCACTTCTGCCGAAATGTACACAACTGATATATGCAGCCCAGAAAGCTGGCACCAGGGGCTTACAACCTTAATTTGCCTGCAAGAAGAAATGGAGATTTACCTTCAGAGCACGTTCTTGATTGTTTTCAGCAGTCATATGTCTCGTGTTGTTTGCTGAAGTCTGGTTCTGCTCTTTCAGATGATGAAGCTCCTGCTCCAGCCGTTTGCACTGCAACGAGGAAAGAATCCCATTAAGTAGAGGAGTGTGGGCATATTTTTTTTCAACAAGCCAAAAGACTTACTGTAAATAACCCCATCACCATTTCTGCAGTAGCAAAAGCATCAGACAAAAGCAAGTTACAATCCCAGACACTACAAAAGCTATGTTTTTAAAATGTGTATCATTATTCAGTTTCCTCCTGGTCCAAAAGTAGCCAAAACCGCTATGTATCAGATGAGATATTTATCAAAATGTTGGGTTGAATTTCTGTTCCTAGTTATGCCAATATATGGCTGGATTTTGGCTTTTATGTATTAAGTAAGTAGATATAAAGGAAAGAATTCATGTTTTTTGAAATGCAAGCAAATGAAAGACCCTCCACCCAAATCAAGGATCCAGCGTTTTATTAGAAAATATAGATCAAATTTTTAGACTTGTATTTTTCATACTAAGAGGTTACTATAATTCTCCAAGATTGTTTTATTTAAATATTTAACTTAATGACAAAAAATGAGAAAATTAGCACTTGCAACAGTGTGTCTATACATGTAGACATATTGCTGTCTGCTGAGCATTTATTTTAATGAGTAAAAATCAGCAAGTTAAAACCAAATTTTATTTTGCTCTTTTTTACATTAACTATAAAAGGTCTTGCCCAGTTCCTTGGTTTGAAAGAGCAATTAGTTGTCTGCAGACAGCTCTTTGCCTTACAAAAAAACCCCTGTTCTACAAATAAAAAAGAAAAAAAAAAAGAAAACAAAGCAGACAAAGTACCACGAAGACATATGGGAACAACTGTTAGAACTCGGGAAAAGCAGAGTAACAGGAGAAGCATCTTACAACAGCATATTACAAGCCAGTAGTTTAGACATGATCACCAAAACCCAAAGCTAAGGAACAAAATGCAATTATGAACAAAATACAATTTATTTATAAAAATAAAATTTAATATATACTTTCTGAAAACACTAGCCAAAAAAAAAAAAAAAGAAAAAAAAAGAATTGTGCTATAATGCCTACGTAAGCATTGCTGTCTCAAAAGATGAGGAAACGTCAGTCTCTCGTGGTGTCTTAGTGACTGTGGACGAGACAGAACTGAGCTTCCCATCATATATTTGCACCCTATTCCTGAGCAATTCAGTATACAGGACAATGAAGCCTGGCTTCATTGTAAACTCTAAAAAAAGAAAAACTGTGAGACAGAAAGCTTTAGAATAAAAAAAATTACAAATGAGGTTCAAGTAAAATAACGAATGCTAGAGAATCCTGAGACAGAAATTTTAAGACATGCCAACACATACAATTCTTAAACACAAAATAAGACCTAAAAATATACTACTCATCAGGTATCCAGTATAGTATATAAACCAGAATGATCCAATGCTCTATTTGAATAAATTTTAAACATTTGTAGGAGCCCAAAAGTACTATTAAAAATTCCATTCACATATCTCTTGTTATATTTCATTACTTCCGTTAGAAATCTGAGCTTATTTCTAATATTCTAATATTTCCAATCGGAATACCCATTTTAAAGGCAGCGAATTTTTCTGGCCTAGTACATTCTCTCAATGTGTGTTGTAAACTTCCTTAATGTAGTTTTAGTTTTATTGCAAGAAGAAATACATTTTCCCATAGATAGGGAAATACAGAAAAAAAATTAAGATACATTTGATTGTAAGTATTTTCACATACTTGAGATATTTAATATCTGCGTTTATACACACACATACACGAAATTACAAATCACAGAATCCCAGATGTAACTCTTTTTCCATGTGTATGTTTATCACCCACCCACCCACACAATACACACACATACACGAAATTACAAATCACAGAATCCCAGATGTAACTCTTTTTCCATGTGTAGCATGAAAACTATGTGTTTGCAGATGTGAAGGTGCTTCCAAAACTATTGAAGAACTAAACAGAAATTACATATTATTTTTCTTTAGCAACATTTTTTTCCTTGGTTTATGTGATCTAAACACCATTTAAAAAAATCAGTCTACCACTGCAGGCACTATACATTACATCATGTATGATCACCAGGACACCCACTTTTCTGCTTTGCCAACATTCTTCTTCAAAACAGTGTTTTGAAATCCACAATTTGACAATAACACAAGTTTATGTAGAGTAGATATCATTTAAAAGACTAAAATCTCAATTTACCTTTAAAACCTGAATTTATAATCATGTTATTCTATTGATTCCAAAAGGCATGTAAAATATTCTAAGAGCAAAACCTAGCTACATGAATACATGAAAAAAGATCTTGATGTACAGAGCAGATTGTACCACGGAGAGCATGGGTGCAATCTTAATTCTGCTCTCCACTTCACTCCTGTGAATACAGGACACTGAATTAAAGAGCAGCAGTGGGACTCAAAGATCTTGCAGAACACAGAACAAGTAAAGTACAGTAAAGATGCAACACAGGTTACACAAAATGGATAAACCTCCCTATCAAGTCAACCTTGACATGATTAAATTTACATCAAACTTGGGAACATTTTGTAATTTCTCTTTCATTTCATTTCTACTGAGAGTGTTGATATCCAAAAAAAAACAAACCAAAAACAACAACTCTGGGGTATTTTCAACTAGTATACTATTTGAATTCGATTTGGGACGTCACTGAAAGGAATGGTGATCTAATTTGACCTTTGCACCTATGTGTTTTACTATGTTGGAAACAATGCATTAACAGAAGATATTCTGATTTATTCTTGGCTGTCTAGGAAGTAAAATCTTCAATTACCCTCTTTGTGAAAGCATTATAATAATAGTCTTAAATAGCAATACTGTGTATGTCTCAATAAAATTTTATACTTTACAACTTTGATACCTGAGCTACTTTGAAAATATTAAATAAGCATTCTAAAGGCAAACACTCCTTTTCATAAGAGCAGAAGCATGTGAAATTTTAGTGTAACCTTGCAGTAAAGAAAACTTTTAAAAATAGAATTTAAAACAATGCAGCCCTTCTATTCATTTGAGCCAACATTTTTTGAATTCTGTGTCACTAGTTGTTAGCAAGGTCCAGTAAAAATAGATGTTCTTTAAAAGAACATGTGTTTTTATTGGTTCACTCCAGGCCTCTAAAATGCCAACAGCTGCAAGTAAGAAACTGAATTTCCTTCTAAAAACATATATAAAAATACTTTTTGGAGCACAGTGAAGAGAAGACATCATCCAACTTGGTACTGACAAAAAGGAAATGTTGGATGTATCCTTTTAAGAAAGCTGAAAGGAAGTGTTTAATTTGAGACACTATGTCTAAAATTTTATTATCTCAAACTTGCAAAAATTTACACTTGGGAAAACTTCAAACAGACAATATACTTTGCGCAACACAGGTTACCTAAACATTGGATCTGAGGTTTAATTGTGCCCCTAAATGCAAATTCCCATGAGTTCAACATGTTCTGAAACACAGGCTGTTAACTGAGAAAACTGCTTCTCCACCAGAGATACTTTGAGTACATCAAGGAATATGAGAGCAGTGTGGACACGTCAACGAGAAAGTGTCTTGATCAGAACACTGATGACTTTGCTGAGTAAAGGATATTAAAGCCTCAGAAATGGTAACATAATTTTATAAAGGTATCACACAAACAATTTACTAAGAATTAACTTTACTGTGTGGTCTACTGTGTGCATTCACAGTTCTGTAGCCGAGAGGCAACACAGACAACTGAAGGTACAAAAAAACCCATACCCAAAATCAATCTTGACAAAGGCTTCCTCCCCTTTCAAACCCACACTTTTATTCTCCTCTCTGACGGTACTTCCCCTAAAAAGTCTTCTACCTCAGCTAGCCTGAATCAGGTGATAATGTACCTGACAGACAGTGAACCTCATTAAACCAAGTGTCCCTTGAGCACCCACCACTGTCCAGCTGTACAGCTGTCAATACAACACCACCCATTCCCAGCAACAGGGCCTCCATCTTCTCTTTAACTGTATTTCCACCATGCAATTCTTCTAAATACACACAGTCTTTTGAAACAAATACCTCTGTACCCAGCACAGGATATATCACAAGCACCTAAGACACAAAATGAAAAGCAAAGCAGGTAACATACCAAAAGGATAAGAAGAGATTCAGCCAGGAAAGCAAGGATAGAGAGCAAGTAAACATATCCTTCCCTCCTCTCTTAAAATTTAAAAGATTAGGCTACTGTTGAGTCTTTTTAAATGAGCATCAGGTAACATGATTCAGCAGAACAAGGATGTTTGTGAGAGGCACTGGTGCAAGCTGCAGTGGGTGCTGACCACTTTCAGTGACTCCCCAGGTGGGAGTGTTGGAACACCCAAGGGAAAATCCAGACAAATTGAAAAAGGAGCATCTGCTAAACCGGACACTGATAGAGAGGTCAAGAAATGGACCAGGAGAATATCACTGAGGAAAGTCCATGAGGCCCACCCAGAAAGCGACTTAAAAGACAGCCTCAGCTCCAGTGATACAAAAGGAGTAAAGATGGTTTACCTTGAATCAAGTATTTCAGAAGATAGAAAAATCAATGCAAATAACCACTTAATAGTGTTTGGCCTTTACTAGAAAATGAGGTTGCATTAACATATCAAACATAACTTTAGCACTTGTATAAACAAATCATCTTTAACATGCTGTCAGCTTTTCAGCATTTTCTTCTTCAACTTGTACCTGTAACACGTTAACATAGTGTTACAGTGTCTGCCACATCTAACAGATTGATGAGTTATTTTTTGATCATTGTTTAACATGATCCTTCAGTGAGGTGTTCTCAGAGTAAAAAGATCAGACATTACACAAAAGTAATGAAAAACCTGTAAGGCATTGGAGAAGTAATGTTAGCAAGGACAAAGATGGAATACAGCAAAGCATTAACATTGAGCAGAGGGGCCTCCTGTTCCCACCCATTTGGTCCCTTCTGTAGTTTGTATGAAGACACCTATCCCCAGAGGTTTCATGCAGAAGCCTGTTTAACTCTGCACATCTTAGGTCAATCAGGCTGTTC